GTTTTGTTCAAACCACATCCTCGTCGTTTTCGCGGCGACATGACAAATTTGAATGATTTCAAAATTTAGTAGGTGTTTAGTAGTGTGGTGAGTTTAAAAATTAATCTTCAACTCACTATTGAATCTAGTAACCCAAGCCGTGTTCTAGTAACTTGCCGCCATCTGTCGTATATTTTTAATTCGAACTTGTATATTATTTCAAAGGCAGTGGTCGACCAACATTCATTGAGACTCGGATAAAATACCGTTCTAATACAAGGTGTCGGAGGACTGGCAAACCTGGTATACACCACCGCTGTACTTACATCCCAACATCCTCGTGTTTTCACGTATGAAGTCAACATTTTGAAGTAACGTTTGCATGTTGCATGAAGGACAGACTTAGTCGACATGCGAGATAATCGCGAGTTTTCGTTCATTTCCTGTATCTCCCAAGTGTACTACTACTTAGTAGTTAATATCCAATACATGGATCCGATCACCTCCACATACATTAGCTTTCATTATACTGGAGGTTTGGCATCTAAAACGCAGTGCATAGACGCGGGCTTGCAATCTTCTGCGACGGAACTCAAGGAAGTTGCCCTTGCTTGCTGGATGTTATGGCTTCAATATTGTCGCAAGTGATGTACGTGTAGGCCCCAACGACACCCGCGATGCCGGTGGGGTCGACGGCGGACAAAATGATGGCTGCGGTACGTACGTAGTCTTCGTTGGTGACGTTGGTGGCATTATTGATTTGATAGGCGGGCAATGTCCCACTGTATGCTCCGTTGACAGAGTTGTACAATTTTGTGCCCTGTTTAACAGCCCGCTCGGCTTCCATCCACTTTTCGCTCGTTTTGATTTGCGGAGCGGCTTTAGCCCACGCCTTCGACAACATGGACACCTTGGCCTCGCTCGCCGGGGCTTGGAGTACTTCGATCGGACTGGCGGTAAACGCTGTGAGGGCGTTGAATGCGAGTATTCCCACTGATAAGACTTGGTCTTTGACGGCAAGAGCGCAAATGTTTTTGTTTATTGCGGCCCCCATGCCGCAGTGCACCCACGAGGGAGGAGTGCGGCCCCAGCACACTGGGCCAACACCAGCGTAGTGGGGCTTGCACTTGGGGTAGCACAGGCCTGCATCGAAATCTTCGTTGGCAGCGCACGTGCCAAAATTAGGCTTCCCCATCTTGTATTTCTTTTTACACGACAAGTCGTCCCGTTCGCCCAAGCCAAGGGACCTGCAGTCGGGTAGTGTGTTGGGTCGACAGATACAACATTCAACCGGATGAAAGTTCGGCAAGCACTTGGGGTACACAACCGCCCCCATTCTTCGCAGTTGTCCTTCCGTAGTCCTCTTCGCAGCGTTGGAACATATCAATAGCGTTCAGGTGATCGTAAAACGTCCACGGGTACCCAACCCCCCGGCCGTATTCAGCCTTGCGGCAATACAATCCTTGGTCCTCTAAATCAGGGGGGCAGATCGAATAGCAGTCGAGGCCTACGCGGGTCATGCCCAATGGACACTTCTCGTAGCACAGCAGACCCAGGCGCTCTTGTCCGGCGGCGCACGATCCCGGCACACGGCCAACACCGCGTGTATGCGTTGCCTTCCAGCAAAACTTTGAGGCCACTTCGGGCTGGTGGTTGTCGTTTCGGTTCGCGCTCGCACTGACCATGGTGGCTAACACGGTGAGGAGAGCAAGAATGTTGGCCATCAGGTCAAGCAAGGTAAATGGCAAAGTGACGTCTTCAGATGGACGACGCGCACTTCCAGTTTCGAGTCAAAGTATTCAGGCACTTGTCGTAGTATCTGAAACGGGGGTGTCCCAGCCTTGAGGCCTTGGTCGAGGGGTCTTGCCGACGGAAACAGGCTCGGGACAGACTCTAACGATGTGGCAAAATATTTTCATCGTGTTCGGATTTGCGACATATTGTACCCACTCATAATTATATCTTTGGCCAATGAACCAATCAAAGCACATGCCACACGAAATCGGCATATAAGCACACACGGAAACTGTGGGAAAACGTTCAAGAAATCTGGATACCGTTCAGCCAAGTTCAAGCAAATGATCTTTCCGTAACCCTGACCCGCGTGCACATACGCTGAAGTGTACTACAGTAGTTAGTATAAGAACACTACTCGGAGTAAATATCTGAAGACCCCAAAAAGTACGACATGTCCTTTCCTTGGCTTTCGGCCACGGGATACTAGAACCACATGTTGTGGAACGAACGCACGATCCAATTGCTCTGCACGCTGCAGAACATTTTTCTACTTCGCAAAGCTGTGGGAGATTTGAGCATACCATGGTAAAAACGATGGAGCAAATGATCCATTTGGTGTGAACTGCAAAGCACTCTCTACGAAAATATGCCTCATCTAACGAAAATATGCCTCATCTAACTAGAGTTTATTAGTTTGAACGGTTTTCAGTCTTGGTTGAACGGTATCCAGATTTATTGAACGTTTTTCAGGGTTTG